TCAGCAATACATGGTAGTAATATTTCGGCGTCACTTGGGTTTCCTGTTTCTAGTGTTATAAAATTACAAATTACATAATGTCTGTGTGGCTCCCGCACTGCCCTCTCTGAACACCTTCACTTATGAGGGCTCCTCCTTTTCTCTAAGGCAGTCTGTCTGTCTGCCACCCGACTGTCCAGAGTCCATTGCACAGTGGTTCACTCTTCCCCAAGATGTCCCCCATCTCACAGAAACCAGGACTCCTGTGACATGGGTGCTGGATAATGCTTGCTGGGCTATTCCAGGGGGAAGTTCAGCCCTGGGAGAGGAAGAGGGGGTGTAGGCTGCAGAGAAATTGATATCAAGCAAGAACCTGGTCCAAATAAACATCTATTTATTGAATGTGAGTGGATCTGCTTACTGCCATTATGATTGCATGGTCTCTGTTGTCTTTTTCTCTCCCTAGCATGTCTGCATATGGAATCATTTAAGCTGCTTTATTTTTTAAAAATTCAATTTACTTAAACTAAAAAAATCTCCAAAACAATTCAATGATTTCTCCTCCTTTCCAATTCAGCATGTCTGGAGGCGTCCAAGGATCTGAATTTTAAAACAGGTACTCTAGAAAATTACAAGCTACATTTAAACAAACCATGCATTAAAAGGGTATGGATTTATTTTGAATTAAAAATGCCACTTTTCCTTTAATAAAAAATTATTGCATCCTTTATGTACAAGATATTCAAAGATAAACTAGACAAGGATTTTAGTATTTAATAGGGAAAATAAACCTTCATAATAATAATAGAGGGCATAAAGGGATAATAATCTTATGAAAACTTCAATTAGGGTATTCAAGTGTTCTGGAGAAAAGGGCTGGTTTCAGAGTAGTGGAGATTATGGCAGGCTTCAAAGAGGAGGTAAATATGGAAATGTGGAGATAGTATGAAAGGAAATTTTAGGAAAAGGTCACGGTATTGGCAAAGACACTGAGGCAGAAGGTGCGGAATGTGGGGAATGCAGGCATTCCTGTGATGGAGTCTCAGGGTCGGTTCGAAATGAGGTAGGTAGCTTGGCTGAGTGATCACAGCTGGAGATTATGTAGACATATCTTTAGCTGGGTGAGATTCCCAAGAGAAAGGACAGAGAAGAAAAGAAAACCTAAACATCAATGCCATGTAACGTATTTAAGGCTTGAGGAGGGGATTCAGTGGGATAAAGATTCACAGTAAACATTATTCCTTAATTATATTAAATGTGATCTAAATAGGTAACTTTATGTGTTCTATGATACTCTTATTATTTGAGACAAACAAAATAAGACTCTTAAACTGGAAGATGAAGACCAATATGAAATCCATTACAATAAAAACCAAAGCATTATCTAAGGTATTGCTGAAATATAATTCCATAGAATAGATTGGATACATATATTTTTACTGTCTACATCACCTATGTAGACACTTAAAGAAAGACCAATAAGGCTAAGTTCTAGAGGGTCATACAAGCACTGTGATGTGTTCCCTTGCTTTCTTTCCTTTTAAAAACAAAACAAAATAGAACACTCAACCCCCTCAGAGTTACATAATTTCACTAGAGAAAACAAAAGCGAGGTAAGCTGAAGTCATGGGACATGGTAGAGAAAGAGCAAGAGGCTGAAGAGCTACCCCGGATGGAGCAAAGATTTTCCAGATGTGGAATTCCTTCTGCGGATCAGTGCTGTTGGTTTGGCCCCCTTAGGTTCTACCAGGAAAAAAAAACAAAAACTTGAGAACTATGGATTCTTCTAACTTCTATCTGTAATCTAACTAAACCTGCTTTGCTGCAATTTTATATTTTGTTTCCTTTAGGAAAGTATCTTGGTATCTGTGATCTGCAGTTATTTTTCAAAAACTGTCTTATATTCTAGAGGGGAATATTCTTGGAACTCTTGGAGATATTTGTATGTGTGTTGTAATATCTCCATGTGGAAAGACGTGCCTAACATCCCTGTGTCACGGTGCTCTTGTCTGCCTCACAGGAAGGCCAGCGTGCTCCCTGAATGTGAGGGTGACGGAGGTCACTTCTCTGTTTACAGTCGCTGTCATGGACCATCTGGGAGAACGGCTCCTGATTAGCTGCAGAACGATGAGCACCATCTCCGAGTTAGGGTCACAAGACAGACTGAGATGACGTTTTTTTTTTTGCAGACCCCCAAATTTGGTGCTCAAAAATACTACAAACGAATGGAAGTTTTCATGATATAATAAATTAACTAGTTTACTGCTTGACTAAAGTCATAAAATAAGAAAAGCCTATGTCCCCCTTTGTACCACCTGGCTGCTTTTTGTTTTGCATAGATTTGAAAGTTACTGTCTTCATCTTTACAGCTGGAATGCAGCCATTAAAGGTTTTAGGGGAAAAAAAATCATGCAAATGCCCCCACATATGTCATTTTTTAAAGTAAAAAAAATAATGCTAAGTCATAGAACACAGATAAGTCCTTTTAGGTATGGAAGTTAAGATGCACAATGGAATCTATCTGATTCAAAGGAAGAGTTCACTGAAGACTAAAGCAGTTGGAAGAGGGTTTGTACAAAAAAGGTGGCACTCCAGTAAATTCTTGAAGGAAGAGTGTGATGTGGAGGGAAAAGAAAGCAGAATTTGGGGGACAGGAAACTTCAGGAGCAAAGGCATAAGGACAGAAATAAACCATATAAACTGTACTAACACTTAGTTATACTGATTTTGGCCATACTTTTATTAGAACACTTGGAGGTGACGAGAAATGGTGATTTTAGGCATGAAGAAGTAGAAAAATCATCTGCTTTGGAGCAAGAGAGATTCAGGTACTGTGTAGCTTAGTGTGTATTAAAGATAATGTAGAGGAAGCACTTAGCTCTCTTCTCAGAGACTACATGGTAGGTACACAATAAATAATAGCTGCTGCTAATATATTTTGCTAATTTTTTTTTGAAAACTTGAAATTCCAAAGGAGAGAAATGAAGTCATCAAAATTAATGGCCAAGAGAGTTATTTTGCCCAAAGAAGAAAGGATAAAAGTTAACATAAATGGAGTACGTGATGTATTGTATGATCAATGAGTTTTTAAAAAATTTCCATTAAAATGTACTAATAATCTCTTTTAACCATGGAATACCCAAATAATAGGGCATTATTCAGCACTAAAAAGAAATGAGCTATCAAGTCATGAAAAGACATAGAGGACCTTAAATACATATTGCCAAGTAAAGACACCAGTCTGAAAAGCCTGCACGCTGCACCACTACCACACCACACAGAAGAGTTTCCCTGTCCTGAAAATCCTCTGTGTTCCACCAATTCATGCTTCATTTTCCCAATCTATGGCAACCCCTGACCTTTTTACTATATCCACAGTTTAGCATTTAAAAGAATGTCATATAGTTTGATCTGTACTTTCCATGCAGTTTTTCTATGAATCTAAAACAACTCTAAAAAACAACTTATTAAATAAATAAACTCCTGTTAGGTGCATAGCACCATGCTAAGCGACTATGGGGAGGCAAGGCTGAGACAAAACGCTCAACAGACAGTGGGATCCACATACGGTTAACATATGAAAATGACCAGGACACATTCTATATGGACACAGATGTATCATATGTACACAGATCTGTATGATACACAGATGTATCATTTCAAAAAGTATGAAGTTAATCTGAGCAAGAGCTGTCATGAAGATCGCAAGGAGAAGGTGGGAGCCGAGTGAGACCTTGGGGGCTGGGAGATTAATTTTTGGAAGGGAAATAGGAGGAGCAAAGGTCAAGTTGTGCAGAAGCAAATTCAGGAGAAAAGTGAGGCTGCTACCATGGCTAAGTGGGAGGGGTGAGCCAGAGGAGGATGGGAGACAAGGTTGGAAAGGAAGGGAATTCAGATTACGGAAGAATTTGTCAGCTTGCCGAGTCTTAGTATTTAACCATCTCATACAGCTTAGTGAGTAAGAACATGCATTTTATCTATATTGCTTGTTTTGAATCCCACAGTATGACTTTGGGATTTAGGACACATCTCTGAGTCTCAGTTCCTCATCTCTATAATGTGGAAAACAATAACCCCTGCCTTATAGGGTTGCTAGAGGACTACGTGAGTTCATATCTATAAAGTGCTTATAAAAGTGCAGGCACAGAGTAAATGCTTGCTATTATTATCCATTCAATCCACAAAAATCAAGTCAAAAACCTTCAAAGAGGCTGGCATTACACAGGTGCAAGGAAAACAACTGCCTTTCAGGAAATCACAGCACAGCAGGAAAAGTATTTGGATAAATGTATCCGAGAAGACCATAGACTCACATTAAGGGAGGTAAATTAAAGATGTGATGATTTATTACTGTTATCTTCCATTTATTTATTTCCTTAAATCCTCAGGAGAGAACTGATCGAACATTAAGAAGAAGTTTATAATATTCACATTCAGGAGCCACTGCAATGTGTTTTCTGGGAGGCCCAATGGTTAGAAAATTCTATGAGATATTTACAGTTTTTAGGACAAATAGCTTCTTAAATCCACGTTCCACTCCCCTGAAACAGCCAGACTGGTGTTCTTTACAGCCTTTACACAACAAGATGGGCACTGGCCTTTTCTTGAGCATCAGTACATTTGTTATGGTTGGTAATATCTGTCTGAGACTTCCCATTTAGATAAGCCATATCTCAAAATGATATTTTAATTCTACAATAGAAATGTTTATGGATCCATGTGGAAGAGTTACTGCTCTCAAGTTTTTGCCTATAGAAAAATAAGTCAAAGTCTTTCAAATCAGTGGAAGCAAAAAAGTGTAATTATCCCAGCAGAGTTGTAGGTCACTTCATACTCAGACAAGTCAAAGAAATACCTTGTTTTATGTACCTTTCCGAGGTAAATGCACATCTCCACAGAAATTAGATTCAACGTACAATTATCTTGTGGGTACATACTTATGTATATCTTCATATTACTAAGAAAAGTAACTGAGCTGCAAACTGCACTGGGAAATCATGATTTATGTACTTATTTTTAAAATATCTCTGTCCAGCCATTTCATATAGGAGGAAGACAAATAAATCCTCCCTCTTCAGATCTTGGCAATTTTCATTTATCCTATAAGCATTGCCATTACAATCTATTATTAGAAGAAAATGTGGTAGTCAAATGGGAACTCTTTAAAGGCAAATATGTGAAGGCATCTAAGAAATGATCAGATATGATTTTCATCCTACCGGAAAGTTCTCCTATTGCTTTGTAAATCAAATTGGTAGAAAGGAACCTTTTAATAAACCATCTTTCTTTCAGGAAGACTGAAAGTGACTAATTTTTCTACTGACAAGAGGTCAATGTCAAGTAAAATACTGAAATGCAAAACTGTCCCCTTTAACCTTCACTGGCAGTTCATAGCCACCTCTTCATATGCAAAGTATGCACAAGACTTTTTGGAGGAAGAAATTTCAAGTTTGTCAAATATTGTGAAAAATTATGTCCATTGTTAGACTGGAGATTAAATAGGTGCCTGTATGAGTTGTTTGGTATGTCAAACAAATGGATTGATTCATAACTATGTCTTGGGTATCTGCTTATGTAACATACCACACTGAGTGTGGGCTGACAAAGACGAAATGGGGGGTTCACACTTTCAAGGGGCTCAGAGCCTGATACGGAATATAATTCATGAACAGAGACACATCATGAGTGTCACTAAATGCCTCAGAAAGGTACAGCCACCTTCAGCGATTCAGACCTGGGAAGGACACTACAAGCGTAGGAGGTAACATCTGAGTTGGAGGTTGTTAAAAGAGAACTTATCACGTACCCATGTTGCTTGAAATATAACTGAGAAGAAAAGGAAATATGTTTGCTTGGTTCTGGTGGTAGAGTAGATTTGCTTTACCAACTTGGTTATAAATGAAATCCCAATTGAATACTTAGGAATAGATTAAAAAATTATCTGTATTGAAAAATGTCCTACGAAGTCAAGATCTTTGGCATTTAAGAATAGCTTACTTATATTTTTCATGAATTCCTTGTTACCTGAAAGCTAATGTATTTCGTCCCAAAAGCCCAGTCAACCACAGCCAGCTTTTCATGGATTAGTTTACATTAGGTTTCGGAGAAACTGAGAGGTTATATGTGGGCATACCCCAAATTCCTTTCTTATAAAAAAGCAGGCAAATTGGAGACCATAATATGAAGAAAAGTGAAGCAAGTGAGTATTTACAAGTCATTAATATAAAAATAATGAAATTCATTTTCTGAGACTGAAAGGGAATAAGAATTTGGAATGTTGGCCAAAGCCCAGCCTGGCCAGATAAAGACAAAATTTTCAGATCCTGCTGGACCCTGTAGAACAGCTGGGGGTCTTTGCAGTTACAGAAAGTGTTGCACTTAGAAGACAATGATAAGATTCTACATTTGGCTTTGGGAGTATTATATGTATAGAGTAAAGCATTTGCCGAGTTTTAAAAGATTGCATTTCTTCATTCATTTACCAAACATCAAACAACTACCATAATGTTGGCCTCAGGAGTGGTGCTGAACGAAATAAAATTCTATCTTTTAAAGTGCTTCCAGTCTAGGCAGTGAGCAGACTAAATCCGGTCTGATCTGTACTAAAAAGGAAACATAACAGGGCAGAGTCTTTCAAAGGAGAACTCTGAAAGAAAATACAGCAGCCTTATTTTTGTTTTTCTTTTTCATTCAGTCTTCTTGGATCCATCGATATTGGAACATGACTCAGAGTGGAATAGATTTCAACTGTATTGAAGCAATAGTGATCACTCTGGAAAAGAGGAGAGTTTCTTTGCAACACAGTTTTATTTTTTTCATCTGTATTTCACTTCCCAGTGATCAAAGGCAGCCAAGAAAATGAATACCAAAAGGCAGCACGTCTGGGCTTTGTTATTTAGTGTGTTTACAAGGGGCTTGGAATGAAATTATGAAAACCCTGATTTTTCCCCTCACACATTTGTCACAAAGGAGTGTTTGATTTCTAGGTTCTGCCTTTAGCTACAACACAAAGCTGCAGAGACTGTGAGTCTGTTATATGCTTCTGAAAGCTATCTTTCACAAGCATTTCAGGCTATAATTATTCATTATCTTGATTTTTAACATTTTCTGCCAACTAAATAACCTAGAGGCAGGACAACAAACATTTAAGGAAATGACCAAGGAATGCAACCAAAGACAGATTCTAAATCATCTTTCTCAATGGTGTCCTTTAAGCATTTGCACGGGATGGTTTCCCAAATAACACCATTAATTAATTATCTAACTGGGATATTTGGCAGTCATGGGGAAAGCAGGAGTGATGGAGGGAGTTTGGGAGGTGGGGGGAAGTTGAATAAAGTTTTAGAACCATATAAACTCTAAATCATTAAGATTGAAGCCAAAGCATCTGTGTAATTATAATTTATTGGTTAACATGTATTTATAGAACACTTACTATGTGCTAATAACTGTTTTAATTATAGGGCGTACAAAGACAGTATTCCTGATCTAGAAAAGCTTACGGACACAGAGCAAAAGAGGATAGTAAGACTATAATGGAAACACAAAGAATCTTCCAGGAGCACAGAAAAATCTACGCCTAACACTGCCTGGAAAGTAATTCATTAAGGAGGCAGTACTGGGGGATCTAATAAAACACGGAAATGGCAAAACAAAGCCATTTTTGGCTAATGATAATGGTCTATTTTCCATGCGCTGCCACCTAGCCTGGGAAAATTTGCAGGGCGTTCTATGTCTTAATTTTAGAATGAGCTATTTCATATGACTATATCACTTTTTAAATATGCTCTGGGAGTCACATTTTCATGCCTGATACGCAATGTTCATTTTCTAATTTACATGCTTCTATGCAATGGAGAACACATTCTAAATCATAAGGGTAGACAGCTTTCTCCCCCATGCAATTAAATGAAGTTATATTCATTAAAGAGGAAGAAAAACATGGTTCATATATTTTTTGTCCTGAATAAGCCATTTCTTTCTTTCTTCTCCTATCTGTGTCTGTATCATCTATATTTTTAAAAAGGCAGTTGCCTAATCTAGATAGAAGTAGAAAGATATAGAGTTAGAAGGGGTTTTGGGTTAAGGCTGCCCAAATCAAAACACAAAGGAACAGAAAGAAGAAAAAATATTGATAGGTATTTATCAGAGAGAATCCTAACAGGAAACAAATGGCACCCTGGGTAAATTGAGGGGACTTTAGTAACAGAATTATCTGTAAAGGTGTAGGGAAATTACAAGGGTAAGAGGGGAGAGTGACTGTCCGAACCTGAAAACTTGTGTGGACCTAGCCAGGGTCAACAGTGACTCCTAGGATGGTGGCGGGTGGCACAAATCACCCCTCGCAGCCCACCCGCTCTCCCCAACCCCCCCATGCCCCAGGATCCTGCTTGGCTCCTCTCGGGGAGACAGGGAAGACAGGAGGGTGGCCCACTGATTCTGCCCATACTGGTCAGCCTCCAGGACACACTGCTGGGGAGGAGTAGGGAGGAGGGTGGATCTGAGAGGTAATAGGGACATACCCAGTACAGAAAGTTCTACCACATCTAGACTACAAATGTCCAGGTATGTCAGGCAGGAAGGTTTGACCCCATCTCATAGACAGTAGGGAGACAAAGAAAATGCTGAAGCAGGCATTGATAGGATCGCGTGGTCCTTTCAAAGATAACTCTGGTGACAGTGCAGAACGCGGATGGACGTAATGATAAGTTAAGGCAGGCAAACCAGTTCTTGGCACTGTTGGGAAAGTGCAGTGGAAAGTGGAGGGCTGCACTGCAGCGAAGGCAGGGAGTGTATAAGGGACAGTTACAAGGCGGTGGTGACAGGGTGTGCAGGAGGGGAGGGAGGCAGGCTGGGAGCTGGGTGGACAGGATCCAGTTCCCCAGGGACTAGGGATATAGGGCATAATGGAGTTCTAGGAAAATGGGATGCAAGGTATACATTGCTCAGGGATCAATCTTTTGGAGAAATATCTCAGAGAATTTCACCCTGAGACAAGCATTTCTAATGAGAGGTTAAAATATGACAATCTCTGCCTATCCTGTGATGACCTCCATCTGAATTAACTCACTCGGAGGCTTATGGGGAGAGCAATCTGTTTCCTCCACATGGGCAGCTGCTCAGCTGTTACTTGGCGCCCTGAGGAAGCACGGAGGAGCCCTCGGAGCAGACAAGGTGGCGCTAACATGCTCGCTTCTATGTGGCTTGTACCTGTGGTGGGTACAGGCACCAGTAATTAACGGTAAAAGACAGCTACTATGTTTAGGGCCTGCTCTGTGCCGAGCACAGCTGCCTTGCGACCTTCATTATTTATTCTCTAGAAATGGGAAAATGAGGAGCTGAAGTGACTTGCTCAAGGCTGCACAGTTAGGAAGCACAGCTGTGGGAGAATGTACTGTGCACATCCGGCCCACTCGTCTGAGGCCTGCACACGCTGGTGGCATGAGGGATGAGATGTGAAAATACTCTGTGTTGGATATAATTACACAAATTGAAACTTGGGCGACTAATTTCAATTTTTAAGAAAAACAAGTTAATGGGACTCTATTTAAGATCTTGAGAATGCACCTGCTTGATACAGAGGCTCTTGGAAATAATAGTTTTTATTTGATTCTTTTTCTGGAAAGCTTTCTGAGTATGGTGGTTAAGAAATCCTCAGTTGAGAGGAGGAGAAAGAGGATGCTTGCCTAATGGAATATTCTCAGCTGGAGTCTGGGTCCCGTCTGGGCGAGGACAATGACCTCTTCCTAACTGCCTTCTTGGCAGGACCTAGGATGATGCCTAGGGTATGCTGCTGGGGAGGAAGCATTTGGGATGAATGAGCCGACGGGGGGCTGTTTGAGAAGGGCCTCCCCTTGGAGTTTCTGTCATCACAAGTGGAGAGAACAGCAGCAGAACTGATTCCGCCCAGCTGTGCTCATACACCAACCTGGATCGGAATAGAAAGGGGCTACTTAAAGCCCACACAGGACAACCACACAATGGCGACTCAAGAATTATTAATGGAATGTGCCCCACATGATTTTGTTTGGAGCTTCACAGCCTGCTGGACTTGGTTCCAGTTGGCTTGGATGAGAGGTCACACAGATTAAAAATAGACTTTCTTAATAAGGAACAATAGGCTACTTCACTTAGCAAGACAGAAAAAAAATGACAGGCCTTAGGGGTGGGACTGAAGCTTAATCCTATTTAAGAGGTCAATTAACCCCCAGAAGATTGAGTCGGGTCCCCGATCTTCCTTGTCAGTCCTTTGTCTAGCAGAGTTTAAAAATAGAGATTCAAAAAGAAGAATAAAGAGATTCCTATTTGTATATAAAACTCAAAATACTTCTTATATTTTAAATAGGGTATATTAAAGCTTAGAAATATAAGAATTAGACTGCTTGGACTATTATGGTCCCTGAAAACTTTGGAAATGAATCATATTCTTTTATGAATTTTCAAATCTGTTACCATTACTCATAAAATATTCAATATAGGCTTTATCTCAATATATAAATTCACTGATTTAAAAAGAAAGTATTTGTCTCTTGTATTTATTTTATCAAACAAAATTATATTTCCTCCTGAACAAATCAAAACATTCAAGAAATCTAAATTAAAATCCATTCTGGAGTAAATTCCTATGATTCTAATATTTTAATATACAGAAGCCAGTTTCTGCTCAGATCAGGGCATCCTGAGTTAAGCAGAGGGGATGGCGCTCTCCGGGGCCTGGGTAGGTCATCTGTCCATTGGTGGATCCTACTTCATGGATCATCCTGCAAAACCTCTATGAATGGAATTGATCAACTCTTTTCATTTGTGCTCCAGCTATAGAGATACGATCCAAAGAGATCATTACACAGTCACAATTATTTTCATGGTTTTTTGTTTTGTTTTCTCCAGATGGAAAATTCCCAAGAGTATGATAACAAGTGGTGGTTACATTATACCCATGCTCTCTCTTTAATTTGTTTTTTAAAATAATAATATCTTTAAAATCTTTGAGAGGCCTGATAAACCGATGGGCTTTTCCCTATCAAAGTCAAGTCACTGAAGCGGCCAAGGGAGAAGAGAACTCGGTCTCTCAATTCCCTTACACGCTGGCATTTCCAGGCTTTCTTACACTTTCCCACCAGCTAAGAATTCACATCCTGTTTTCTCATTGGGGTATGTGAGAATTTGCTGATATTCTAGAATAAGATGACAACTTTGCTCTGTTATATACTTTGTTTAAATTGCAGATAATCTTGGGAATGACGGAAAATGTCACAACCCAAGATAAAAGCATGAGTTTGGCTAAGTTTCTTTTTCTTTGTGATGCAAATGTTCACTTAACTATTTATTTCTTGTCCTAACTAGACAGTAAACACAACCATTTATGGCATTAGAGCTATGGGACTATAACTTGGATTCCATTAGTACCTGCTATTAATCCATGTCTTACTACTGCATTGTTAAACTGAGCGGGTGTTCTCTTTAACTGATACATGATGCTTGTTCAATACTTTCCTTCACTTCTAAAGGGTTACCTTTCAACATATTAGAGTGAGAAAATCAGACACAGCATAAACACAACAGAAAAGTTTAGCTCATGGAAGAATACAAGCTATGAAAACCTTTCTGTGAAAAAAATCTAGCAGCAAAATTAAGATAACTAACTTAGAAAGAGAACATCTCCCATATAAAAATCGTGTCAAACTTTAATGCTTTTGTGTCAAATCAGCTGAAGTCAGGATATCACCTTTAGATGATACTATAAACTTTTAATATGGCTCTTAAAAATCACAAATGTCTAAGAGCTAAGTGATGTGCTTCCAGTTTGTTAATGCACCCTTCAACTGTTTTTTAAAATATTAATATTATTACCTAGAAAGTATAAAAAGATGTTGAGCAAGATCAGAAGATATTTTAGAAGCACATATAATCTCTCAATCCAAGTCTAATTTTTCATATTCCCAGGTTTCTCTTCAGTCCTAGCTCATTTCTCATGATACTGTTATGTAGTTATAGCACAGAGCATAAAAATATGACTTTTTTCTCCAATACAATTATTCATATTGGTTCATGACTATATTTTTGATGACATAGTGTCAGTTTTAAACAAAGACATCTTTTTCTATGCCTGCTAAATATGCTACATAAGATTAAAAATTCAATCTTGATAATTATCAACAACTGATTTCCAAAGACCCCATCCTGATACACTGAATCGCACAGTTTTCTTCCTCAAGATAAAAGGTGTGGTTACTGTTATATGTGAGGCTACAAGCAGCACACTTGTTATTCGGACACAATGTCATCTTATGTCAGAAAACCATTTTTTCTTATATTTTGAGCAAAACACTTTTTTTCAGGGAGTCAACATTTGTCCAAAGTAACGAGATTTATGCATTTTAGGTATTTCATGAAGTGTCTACATGAAGATGGAATTTTATTCTAAACTAGATAGGAAGGAAAACACAATCAAATGCCAACTTACCAGCCTTTTCCTTCTCTGAAATACCTGGAACAGCCTGAAAAAGAAAGCAAAAGCCTCAAAATTCTGCTATTACTGGAAAGAAATCTCAAACAACATTATTGGGAATAAAATGAAGTACTATAATTGGATCAAAAGTTTAATGGAACCTGACAAATAGAAAAATGAGAGCTCAGAGGACCTGAAGAGACATCTTTCCAAGGAGACATACAGATGGCTGACAGACACATGAAAAGATGCTCCACATCACCAATCACCAGGGAAATGCAAAGCTAAACCACAGTGAGATAGTACCTCATACCTGTTAGAATGGCTATCATCAAAAAGATAAGAGATAACAAACGAGGTGGAGGAAAGGGAGCCCTTGTGCACTGTTGGTGGGAATGTAAACTGGTGCAGCCACTGTGGGAAAGACTATGGAGGCTCCTCAAAAAAAGTAAAAGTATGATCCACCAACCCCACTTCTGGACATATATTCAAAGGAAATGAAAAGAGGATCTCAAGGGGTATCTGTAGTCTCATGCTCACTGCAGCATTATTCACAATAGCCAGGGTATGGCAATGACTTGTGTGCCTATCAACAGATAAATGAGGAAAAATGTGAGACACACACACACACACACACACTGGAATATTATTATTCAGGCATCAGAAAAAAGGAAATCCTGCCATTTGCAATAATATTTAGGACCTTGAAGGTATTTGCCAAGTGAAATAAGCCAAAGACAAATATTGCATTGGTATCATTTTTATGTGCAAATCAAAAAAAAAGAAGGTGCAACTCAAAATCAGAGCAGAGAAGTGGTTGCTAGGGATGGGAGAGTAGGGGAAAAGGGAGAGATTGATAAAAGGGCACAAACTTTCAGCTGTAAGATGGAAGATGAAAGACAATCACAGTGACCCCATTGCTAACACTGTATTATATAACTGCTATTTGCTAAGAGAGTAGAACTTAAATATTCTTGCTTAAAATGATAAATATGAGATGATGGATATGTTAATTAACTAGATGGTGGGAATGCTTTCATAATGTACATCACATACATATATCAAATCATCACAATGTACACTTCAAATGTCTTACAACTTTATTTACTAATTATACCTCAATGAAGCTGAAAAAAAAAAAAAGAAAAATCAGAGTGTGGAACTCTCGGGAAAGTTACTAGTTCCAGCTGTCATAACTGTAAATCATCAAGTAATTGTTTTCTTCTCTGAAGACAGACTCCTATTATCCTTAAAACACACTGGCAATAAATAAGACAAAAACCACTCTGGATTGGGGTAGAATTTTTGTAGTTCAATTTCTTTGTCCTGATTTAGAAGGTAGGACAAGTAAATTGTGCGGTCCATTTCTGGACATTCCCAATCTCTACCCGGTCCCTTCAAGTCTCAGATTCCCATTTTGTAAGAGCTCAGAATGAGATGCCAAGAGACTTTAAGTGTGAATGCCTTGTTCTACTCTTCATGGACACTCCAAAATAATTAAGGATGTTGAATTTCTGGTTCCCATTTACTTCAGTTATTCATGTGTTACATGGTTAGCAGGAGGGTACTGATACTGACTTGTACTGACTGCAGGCCTTAAATCCATCTGACCCAAAGATTTGTGACACCTTCTGTCCCACAGCCAGTGACCAAACAAGATATCTACTAGGGATGACTTTCCCCTCTTCTGGGGACAAAGTCTGCAGAGTTTGGATAAGAGACATGGGCTCGAATGGGTAGTTGATTTTGTTGGGTGAGTGTGTGTGTGTGTGACAGAGGGGGCAGGGGAGAGGAGAGCTTATGTGTACCTCCACTGTTGGTCACCCTAAGGAAGTAGCTTCAGTCTTCATTTCCACAAATATCAAATATCAAGATAACTGATCACTTTGTGACTTACTGATTCCAGCCGAGACCCATGCCTTTGGATTTTACAGGATTTGGAGATTGATACAGTTTTCAAATAGGAAAAAATCTTCTTATGGATAAAAAATAGAGGGGTTTTGTTTTGGCAAGATTGGTCTATAGTAGAAGCACAGTTTGACTTAATCTCTACCTACATTAAGTTGTTCACTTCTTGGCCTCTGGGTATGAACATTGACTCTGCACCCTGGAAAAGATGCAGTGTGAAGAGACTACCAGGTGGCAGGGCGGAGCATCATGCCCAGAGACCAGGCTGCAGAGGGATTGTGTGGGCTTAGCCAGGTTCCTAAGCATCTTTTCATGTAAAGCAGGGGCATCCAATTTTCCCTTTGCTTCAAGAAGAGCTCTGATTCTACAGGAAAGCCATCTCCTCCCTTTATAAGTTATACAGTTTTGGAGATGTTTGTTTACTTTCTATGTGTCTTTTCTTGGAAAGACCTTAAAAATGGAATGAAATCCATACTATGTATTATATGTTAAGCCTAGCCCCTGGATTTTCCCCCCTGACTGGAGATCACGGCTTTTAAATCAAATTTTCTGTTTTGTGACAAGCATACAAAACAACAAAACAAATCAAAACAGAAACCCTTTCATTGATAAGATTGTAAAGGTTGGTGATAGTCAATTCAAAGATGTTCATGGAGAAAATACCTCAGTACAAGAATAGCTAACACATACTAAGTTCTCAGTATTTACAAGGTATTGTTATAAGCTTTTTCCTGCATAAACTCACTCAGTTGTTAGAATAACCTCATGACATCCTGGAGAGTCAAGTAACTCTTGCAAGGCCACGGTTGGTAACGGAAGCCAGAACACAGCCACTGCCATGCTGGCCTCTGGGGTCACTAACACTCATTTCAAAATACTAATCAGTTTTGAAACGAAGGAGAAGAAGGGTTTGGAGAGGTCCCAGGATGAGACATGGATTTACGCCATTAAGTTTCAGTGTGGCAGTATCTGCTCAGGATATTTAAAAGGTACCTAAGTAAGGTCTCTCTTCTTTTAGCTAGGGCATTTAAGACAAACTGCATGTCTTGCCCCAAATCACAAGGTGACCAGTGACAGGCCTTTTCCATATTTGTTCTATTTGATTGCAAAGTGTATAAACAACCATGCACACGAATCCATGAGCTGTACTAGGAAGCAGACATGTTTTAGCCTCCATACAGCCAACGTCAAGACTTTATGTACCCAATGCCGATTACTTTAGAATCTCACCATATTCTGCATGATTCTTTAAGCTTCCAAAGCTCACTTCCATCAGATAACTTCAATAGCCATGTTATGATGTACAGAAAGGAAATGATTCTTTAAGCTTCCAAAGCTCACTTCCATCAGATAACTTCAATAGCCATGTTATGATGTACAGAAAGGAAAGTCAAAGTTTAATACACCCATAATTCTATAACTTCTTTTTTAAAGTAAAACCACACAGTAATAACCGCTGGACATCCCTCAGCTGATTTACCTTTGAATTTGAGGGAGAAGTGTCTCTCTACAAATGGTTTATGAATACATTTTCTAAAATGCTGATACTTCATTTTCAATTAAATAAAGTTATTTGTTGACTCTTCATTACATGCCTCTCATTATCCTACATTCAAAAACCCTTGGCAAGGTTTCCTTTGGGGAATTCACAATCCAGCTGAAGAAGATATGGGAAAGACAAAGGCTAGTTCCACGCAGTGGATGCTAGATGACAACGATTAGCACCGCCACTGGGGTGGCATCAAAAGGAGCAGGGAAGATGGTAGATAGTCAAGTATCACCCAGGTGGAAATGGAATGGTTTTCTTGGGCACTGAATGCTGGGGAAGGAGGTATTGGTCAGGAGATTCTCCTGGCTTTTGACTTCTGAGAAGAGGCACGGCTACATACGGGGTCCCACAGTGTTATATCTGTTCCTGGGCTCAGAAGAAAACATTCCATGCAGGCTGGCTGCATGGTCTGGTACAGAATAGGTGTTCACGAAACCTTTGCGGAATTAAAACACCAAATGCATACAGTTTAAATAACATGTATGACTGTTGCTTTTGAGAAAGCTCCCATAAAAAGCATATTTTTGAATTCATTAGGGGTTTTTGTTAATAGCTGCCATGTGTTTCATTTGAACTGTATCCTCAGGAAGTGATTGAACATTTCTGGCAATAAAGCAATTAAATAGGATTTTCCGGCTGGCCATATGGGTTCGCTGTAACCTCATATTTTCTTCTCTCATTTCTCAATGCAACAAAGGGAAGTCTACTAATAATTTCCAAATGAGAGAAAAAAAAATCATTCATAGTCTTGTTATTCTTCTCTGTGATATTCAAATGACAGGATAACAACCTTTTCTATGGCTAAACTGACCCTCCGATAATTCCCCACATGTAAAGATTTCCATTTGAGTTGATTTGTTAAGGCGTTTTAGGATTGAATTTAAAAAGCCGTTAAAGAGAAACTCTTATAGTAAAAGTCTTATAGTAAAAGGGGAGGGAACAATTTACTCTCTCTTAATGAGATCTTTTAAAGCTGTGTGTGTGTCTGTTTATGTTTTTGATGTGAAACGTGGTTGGGGAAGTACTGACTTTGACATGCCTTGTGGAAATGTTGTAGACGTATGTTGATGCTTTGGTCTGCTGCTAGAATGGCTTTATACACTTACAGGAGGACACCTTTTAGGAACTTACACCAACTACACAGAAGCTGCTGACATAATGGTTAACATGATGAATCGATGTCATATCTCAATCTATTTTAGTGCGATGACAGCTGAAACATTCTAATCAATTCAATTTCCTATTGATAATTTGAGGTGAAAATGGAATATGATTTTTTCCTCTTTAATGTGTTATTTTTTTATTAATACTCCATGTCTCTCAGCTATATAAGTTATTTTCTTCTTAGTTCTTTAGAATCAGAACCAAGAACACGACCATTAAGAAGACCCTTGGAAAGCCAACCCTTTCAAACAATGGGCAGCTGTGAGGCCCTGCAAGATGACAGTCATAGGTTTAATGAAGGGATTGCTTTTGTCCTGCAGTAAACAACATAGTGCTACCACTTATTTTATTCTTTCTCTTTATAGGTCGTGCTCGTTTCATATGTTTTCAAATATTAGAGTTGTTCACACAGAAATGTCTGGAATATT